CGCATAAAATGTAGTGTAACCGCACAAAATGTAGTGCGGCCGCACAGAGGTCAGTGCAGACCGCACAAAATGCCAATGTGGTCCTCATAGAGGTGGGGTTTTGACTACCCACTCTCTGAACAATTCTTCTGCAGACCGCACAAAATGGCAATGTTGTCCGCATTGAGGCACCGCGGACCGCACAAAATGCAATGCGGCCACGGTCTTTGAAGATCAAGTTTCAGGAAGTCTTCAATATGGTCCGCATAGAATGCCTTTGTGGATTGCACAGGGGTACCGCAGATCGTACAATTTCCATCGCGGTTCGCACAGGGCACCAAAAGGCAGCACCAGCCTAGGGTTCAAAGGAATTTGACTTTAAGTCCAATTTTATACCTAATAAGGATCCCTAAGTGGTTGCCCAGGCATTTTTAACTGCCTAATCCTATCTTAAAAAAGAAATTAACTACCCTAACCTAACAAATTGAAAGAAATACGGGAAGAACAGAATAATATACACGAAAAACAAAAAGTAAAGGAAAAATAACAAGATTAAAACAATTAAAAAGAAGTTAATGTTACCAGATGTGAGAAGAACTGAATATTAACAATTCCAAGCAGTTAAATACGAGCAAGAGAAAAGATGAACAGTGATTTTATGAGTTATGAGAGTCAAGAGATCGAAAAGTGTAAAAGTAGGGCCTCATGTCCTATTTATAGAAAAGGACCTGGGGCCCAGCTTACCAACCCAATGCGGACCGCACAAAATGGCAATGTGGTACGCACAACTCAAAGTCATGAGGTACAGACCAAGGCTGCCACTGTGGTTCGCACTAAATGCACTACGGCCGCAGTGGACCACCGCAGACCGCACAAAATGCAATGCGGCTGCGGTGGTAAACTTCATAGATCTGTTCATTTCATCCATCATCAGTGTGGTCGCATTGATTTTTATGCCCCCGCGCTGATTTCTTTGCGGCCGCACACAATGTAGTGCGTTCCGCTTTGAAAACTTCAAAGACTTGACAATTTTTTCATTGTGTCTTGCACTGCATCAACACAAACCTGTAACATCTCACAACCAGTCAGTCCAAAAATAAATCCTATCCTACAATGAAAAACAAAGAAAAACAAGAAGAAAAACACATGGGTTGCCTCCCAAGAAGCGCCTGATTTAACGTCGCAGCACGACGCAGGTTACCATCACATCATTTGAGGTGAAGAAGTGTCACCACATGGCTGTCATCAATTTTTCCCAAGTATTGCTTGACCCTATGCCAATTCACTCTGAAAACTTCTCCATTTTTGTTCTTTAAATCAAGTGCACCAAACGGGGTCACACACACCACTTCAAAAGGTCCACTCCATTTTGACTTAAGCTTTCCTGGAAACAGACGTAACCGAGAGTTGAACAAGAGAACCAAATCGCCCACTTTGAACTCCTTGCTACGAACATATTTATCATGAAGGTACTTCATCTTGTCCTTGTACAAGGACTAACTAGAGTAGGCATGGAATCGGAATTCATCAAGTTCATTAAGCTGCTCCACATGAAGATTTGTTGCAACATCCCATTCAAGATTTAGCTTCCTCAAAGCCCACATGGCCTTTTGCTCTAATTCAACCGGTAGATGGCAAGCTTTCCCAAACACCAACCGATACAGAGACATACCAATCGGAGTCTTGTAAGCAGTCCTATAAGCCTATAGAACGTCATCCAACTTCTTTGACTAATCGGTCCTATTTGCATTGACCGTCTTTGACAATATGCTTTTAATTTCCCTGTTGGCGACTTCAACTTGACCGCTTGCTTGAGGATGATAGGGAGTAGAAACTTTTTGATTGACACCATACATTGCAAGCAAAGTGTCAAAAGCTCTATTGCAAAAATGAGACCCCCCATCACTTATGATTGCATGAGGAGTACCAAAACTTGTAAAAATTCTCTTCTTAAGAAATGCAACAATACTCCGGGCCTCATTGTTGGGGAAAGCCACAGCTTCAACCCACTTTGAAATATAGTCCACCGCTACAAGAATGTATGTGTTCCCATACGAGCTAACAAATGGGCCCATAAAATCAATGCCCCATACAACAAAAATATCAACCTCAAGAATGGTATTGAGAGGCATCTCATCTTTCTTCAAAATTCCACCCGCTCTTTGACATTCAGCACACCTCTTTACTAGTTAGCTTGCATCTTTGTACAAAGTTGGCCAATAAAACCCACAACTAAGAACTTTGGAAGCCGTCCTCGCCCCGACATGATAGCCACCATAGGGAGAGGAATGACAAGCCTCCAAGATACTCAATTGCTCTTCCTCCGGGACACACCTTCGGATCACACCATCCGTGCAAATCTTGAACAAGTATGGCTCATCCCAATAGAAATCCAAACTATCCCGCTTGAGCTTCTTCCTTTGGTTAGAAGAGAGCTCACACGGGATTATACTAGTCACAAGCAAATTAGCAACATTCGCAAACCATGACATACCATTCATCGACACCGAAAGGAGTTGTTCGTCGGGAAATGAATCATTGATCTCTAGGCCATCACGAGGCCTCCCCTCCTCCTCCAAGCGGGACAAGTGGTCCTCCACTTGGTTCTCACTACCCTTCCAGTCCACAATCTCCAAATCGAACTCTTGAAGTAATAAGAACCACCGCATCAGTCTAGCTTTGGAGTCCTTTTTCGTCATCAAGTACCGGAGTGCGGCATGGTCAATATGGATTATGACTTTGGCACCCATGAGATACAGCCGAAATTTCTCCATTGCGAACACAATTGCCAAAAATTCTTTCTCGGTTACCATGTAGTTCACTTGAGCATCATTCATTGTCTTTCTCGCACAGTACACCAGATGAAATATTTTGTTCACTCTTTGACCCAAAACCGCCCCAACCGCAACATCGCTCGCATCACACATGAGCTCAAAGGGTAAGCTCCAATTAGGTGCGGTAATGATAGGAGTGGTGGTCAACTTATGCTTGAGAAGTTCAAAGGCTTGCATATATTTTTCATCAAATACGAACTTGGCATCTTTTTCCAACAACTTGCACAAAGGATTCACTACCTTCGAAAAGTCTTTGATAAATCTCTAGTAGAACCCCGCATACCCAAGAAAACTTCGAACTCCCTTGACAGATGTAGGGGGAGGGAGCCTTGAAATCACATCAATTTTTGCTTTATCTACCTCAATACCATGATTTGAAATTTTATGCCCAAGAACTATGCCCTCTTCCACCATAAAGTGGCATTTCTCCCAATTGAGAACAAGATTAGTTTCTTCACAACGGGCCAAAACTCTCTCAAGATTCTTCAAGCATTTATCAAATGAGTCTCCCACAACACTAAAGTCATCCATGGACACCTCCAAAATGTCTTTCACCATATCAGTGAAAATGGCCATCATACACCGCTGACATGTAGCCTATGCATTACACAATCCAAAAGGCATCCTAGAGAAAGCAAAGGTGCTATATGGACAAGTGAATGTGGTCTTCTCTTGATCTTCCGGAGCAATCAAGATTTGGTTGTACCCAGAATACCCATCCAAGAAACAGTAGAAGGCGCGCCCAGCAAGTCCGTCTAACATCTGATCAAGAAAAGGCAAAGGAAAGTGATCCTTGTGGGTCACTTTATTCAACTTGCAGTAGTCCATGCATACCCTCCAACCGGTGACGGTTCTGGTAGGAATCAACTCATTTTGTGAATTTTTAACCACGGTCATGCCACCCTTCTTCGGTACACATTGCACCGGTGAAGTCCAAGAGCTATCAGAGATGGGATACACAACCCCGGCATCCAACCACTTGATCACTTCTTGCATTGCCTCGTTCAACCTCCTTTGATGTTCCAAGGAAGGCTTTGCATCAGCTTCTAGAATAATCTTGTGCATACAAAATGCGGGGCTTATTCCCCGAATATCAGCTAAAGTCCATCCAATTGCCTTTTTCCGCTTTTGAATCACTGCCAATATGGCATCAACCTGCATGTTAGTAAGACAATAGGAAAGAATAACTGGAAAAGTAGAATTTGAGCCTAAGAACTCATACCTGAGGTGTGGAGGCAGCGGTTTCAACTCCAACACTGGAGGCTCCTCAATTGAAGGTTTTGTTGGTGGAAACTTCTTATTTTCAAGGTCCAAAGATAATTTCCTAGGCTCATAAGAGTAAGATTCCATTCCATGTAAAGCGTTCACGCACTCCACTCGTCCCTCACATCATTGACATCAAGATTCAGCAATACGGCCTCCAATGGATCCTCCACATTAATCATTGCACTAGTGTCATCAACTATGACTGTTGTGACAAGGTCCACAAAAGAGGACACCTCGGTACTGTTGGGCTGCTTCATTGATTTGCAAACATGAAAGACCACTTTCTCGTCAACTACCCGGAAGGTGAGTTCCCCTGCTTCCACATCAACTAAGGCCTTCCCCGTAGCAAGGAACGGTCTCCCCAAAATGATAGGAACTTCATAATCCACATAATGATCCAATATCATAAAGTCAGCTGGCAAGATAAATTTGTCCACCCGGACAAGCACATCATTAATAATACCCAATGGTCTCTTCATCGTTATATCTACCATTTGTAATCTCATGGAAGTTGGCCTTGACTGCCCAATACCCTAAGTTTTGAAAACGGAATAGGGCATTAAATTCATACTAGCCCCCAAATCGCATAGAGCTTTGGCAAAGTCCGCACTTCTAATGGTGCAAGGAATGGTGAAAGCATCGGGATCTTCAAGCTTCGGGGCCATTGAATGCACTATTGCACTAACTTGGTGAGTCATCTTTACAGTTTCACAATCCATAGACCGCTTCTTTGTTACCAAGTCTTTCATGAATTTATCATAGCCCGACATTTGTTCAAGAGCCTCCACCAAAGGCACATTGATGGATAAGCTCTTCATCATGTCAATGAACTTTTTAAACTGATTCTCATTTATTTGATTCGTGAGCCTTTGAGGATAAGGTGGAGGTGGCCTTGGCAAAGGAGCCTTGGCTTTAGGCATAACCAGCTCCTAGAAAATTCAGCATCACATTGGTTATTTGAAATTGTCCGCCCGGATTCGGGGTGGGATAATATCACTTGCATAGACTTGGTTCGGAAGCACTCTAGGAGCCACTCGTGGAGGTGGCGGAGGAGGGTTTGGAATATTTTCATTTGCATTAGCATTGACCTGGTGGCCTCTACGTTGTCCTTGAGGTACAAGAGGCACGTCATCATCTCCGACGTCATCTACCTCCTCCCCCGCAATCACATTTCCAAGAGGGTCATTGGCGGTGTTTACTGCCATTTGGTACCTGAAGTTGTGACACACACAAATTAGTAACAAAGAAAAAAAGAAGAACAATACACAAAACTATTTAGATAGATAGCCAAAATCGTTAGCTCCCCAGCAACGGCACCAAAAAGGTGATCGTGGCCAACCCTACACTACTATTGAGTAGCGAGAGAGGTCGAAGCAGCTTTTACCCGATTTAGGGTCGGGATTGATTTCCACAGGGAGCTAGATATTGGAGTCGGGTGTCTATCTGATTGAGAGTTGTGTATGTGTTAAAAATTGCACTTCTAAACATTTTTGGGTTTTGATTTACTTCTAATTATATAAACTACAATGCTCAATTAAACTAAAGTAAGTTAAGGTTAAACTATTGCGAGTTGTTCAAATGGTTAAAAGGCACTAGGGTAGTGACTTTCGCCTAGGTGATCAATTGATGGGTACTTGAGTCTAAGACATGATTGTCACATTTGGGGAGTATGATATAACCATTGCACAATTTTACCCACTCTACACCTCTCGGTGGTTCGAGTGATTTTGCCCGAATTGACTTTCTCAAGACCAATTGGGTATACAAATTTGCACAAGCAATCCAGGTTCAAGTTGGGTATTACTATCTCTAGATTTAACCCTTTAATTGGGGCTATCAATCTCTTGAGCACGCCCCAATTCCTTGTTGGACCAATTTCAGAGACTTAGGCTCTCTTTCTCAAGAAGAGCCAAAGTCAACTAAACACAAACTAGTGTTTGTAACCACTAATTTAGAAATTAAACATGAAATTAGTCCAAATATTAAACACTCATAGACAATCAAGCATCAAAATACAAGACCCATCAATTGCCCACACTAGGATTGAGCCATAACCCTAGATTATGGGTCTAGCTACTCATAATTGAAGAAGAAAACAAAGAAATAGATGAAGAAAACTCATATTAATTAATTGCTAAGATAAACTAGAAATTCAATGTTGAAATGAATCTAAAATTGCCCAAAATAGCTAAAGAAATGGAAGTCACGAGCGCAGCTCAGTACAAAAACTATCTGATGACCTAAAAATGGGAAAAGAAGCTATTTATACTAAGCTAAAAAATCTGGACAAAAATACCCCAGCGGGGCTAGTGCGTACTGCACAAAATCACGTGCGGACGCACTAAGGCTCTTGACTTAAAATCCAGCTCTCTGAACTCGGGCAATGCGGACCACACAGAATCGAGTGCGGTCACAGTGGCTTCTTGTACGATCTGCATGAAATGGAGCGCGGACCACATTGGGCTTCAAACTCCAAACTGGCATTTCTTTGATTCTTACCTCTACGGACCGTACTAAATCGAGTGCGGCCACAGTGACTCCAATGCGGACCGTAGTAAATCCCATGCGGCCGCATTGCCTGTCTTGCCTGAGTTTTATACTCTCTAAACCTCACTTGTGCGGACCGCACAAAATGGTGTGCGGCCGCACTGGCCCTATTTTGCCTGAGCTTTGTCTTGTCTTGGTACTTGTGTAAGTTTCACTTCTCTTTGAGCTGATCTTTGACATCTTGTCACCTTGTTGATCAAACATGCAATCAAGCACAACTTATGAGCTTTTAGGACTATTTTGTACACATTTCTAATCAAAACTTAAGCAAGAAGGAGTATAAAATGTATCAAAATTCCTAGTTATCAACTCCCCCAAAAAGCTCCAAAATCGATTTAAAAACAGTAAAGGAAGGTTGAAAATTTCAAAGGAGGGTTTATATACTTTCTGGCATAGGAATACCGCACCTGCGGTCCCAAACACGCACATGTGTGACCGCATCTACGGCCAAAGCACCACATCTGTGGTATTCACTTAAAAGCCCTCTTCCGCATCTGTGACTAGACGCACGCACCTGCGCTACCGCAGGTGCACTCCAATAGTCGCTTCTGCAGTTCCAGCTAACCTCCCTCTTGGCCGCTTCTGCGGCTTGCCTTCCTCTTTTGCGGGCATCACACTTGCGGCCTCCGAACCGCAGGTCCGGTTAAGACAGCAACAATAAACTTCAGCTGCCAAACTCAACTTCAAAATCTCCCGTCAACCATCCGAAATCACCCCGAGGCCCCCGGGACCTCAACCAAAGGCACGAACAAGTCATATACCACTATCCAAACTTATACCAATATTCAAAACACCTCAAACAACATTGAATCAACCAAATAACATCGAATTCAAGCCTAAGGTTCCAAAAATCTTCTGAATTCTGCTTTTGATCAAAAAGTCTATCAAACCATGTCCGAATGACCTGAAATTTTGCACACACATCCCAATTGACACAACAGACCTACTACAACTCCTGGAATTCTATTCTGACCCCTATATCAAGATCTCACCTATCAACCGGAAAACGCCAAAATTCCAATTTCGCCAATTCAAGCCTAAATCTACTCCGGACCTTCAATACACTCTCCGATCATGCTCCGAGGCCCCAAATCACCTCCCGAAGCTATCCGAACCATAAAAATTCACATTCGAGCCCTTTTTCAGATAAGTCAACATCCGGTTGACTTTTTCAACTTAAGCTTACTCAAAAGAGACTAAGTGTCTCAAACCTTACCAAAACCTTTTCGAACCCGAGCCAACCAACCCGATAACACATATTACAGTTGAACCAGGCAATAAGAAGCAGAAATGGGGGAAATAGAGTTGTAACTCATGAAACGACCGGCCAGGTCATTACATTACCCAGATGTTATTGTTGATATTGTTACTTCCCTTGCCAGGATGTATTGTTTCTATTGTTTTACTGAGGAAGAGTGTAAAGAATGAAGGGTGATGTCGTGAATGATCTTGTGAGTGAGTGTAATGCACGAAGGGTGATGCCGTACCAATATTATGAGTGTTAATGCACGAAGGGTGATACTGTGCCATGATTTGAGAGTTAATGCATGAAGGGTGATGCCGTGCCGATATTGTGAGGAATAATGCACGAAGGTGATGTCGTATCGCTTCTGTTGTTTCATATGGTGAGGATGAGAGTAAAAGCACGAAGGGTGATGTCGTGCACGCGATACCGTTTCATTATTTTTGTTGATTTAGATATGATGTTCATTATGCTCCTCTATTGGTGCTTCTTTATTGGCTTATTGTTAGAATCTGATATTCCCCGCAGCATGTCCCCTTCCCACCTTATTCTGTTGATTCCTATTACTATGTTTCTATTTGTACATGATTTAACTGCACAAGTTTATTTGATTGTCATGTCCTAGCCTCGTCACTACTTCACCGAGGTTAGGGTCAACACTTACTCAGTACATGGGGTCGATTGTACTGATACTACACTCTATTCTCTTTTGTGCAGATTTCGGTACCGGACCCGGTGAGTAGCTGAGGTAGTTGCCTTCAGTCCAGGGAGACCAAGGTAGATCTGCTGGCATTCACAGAGCCTAAAGTCCCCCTTCCCTGTTTAGCTTTTCTACTGCTCTTTCCATTCCGAGAACAGTTGTACTTTTCTTTCTAGACTTTTATTTGTAGTAAAAATCTTAGTCGTTCATGAATTTGTGACACCGGATTCGTGAGTAGACATGTATTAAAGTATTTGGATTTATTTTAACTCTTCCACGCTTTTTATTTATTTAGTTGTAGTTATTGTTTATAATTGTTTGGGTTGATTGGTAATGTGTAGAACCTTAATAGTTGACTTACCTAACTTTCACGAGTATGCGTCATCATGACTCCTAAGGGTGGGAAATCCGTGTCGTGACAATAGTTACAGAGAAAAATATATATAAGCAAATATATAAATATGTAAACAACAAAGAAGCATATGTGATAGTAGGGGACTAAATATATTTTTACCGTAGATTCCTCTACTTCTGCAAAAGACTTTGTACCACAAGTATGCTTAGTTATTTGTTTTTCTCTATTTCTTTTGTTCCTCTCACTTACAACATGTAAGTAAACAGATTAATAAATCATCATTCAAAGAAATAATCTTCAAGTATTAAGTTAATACCTTAAATTCCGGACTTCCAAAATATTGTATTAGGTATTTCTAGTCCTCAAGCTCAACATCTTCAGGTCGATGAGACAATATTTCTTTATTATTGTTGTACTTAGAGTAAAGAATGCTGAGTCGAGCTTTCCATGCTCTAAAACGCCTTTGCATAGTGCTAATTACAACGACCTGAAACCTATGCTATCGCAACCCGCTGCAAACTTCAAATTTATCCTGACAATAAATGTAACATTATATTCAATATCCTAATCACATAAATAAACCTTGCAACTTAAAGTCAATACAATATTGAAAGTAGTTTATTACCTTGACCTTTAACCACATTACTTCTCCGTGTTTCAGAACTATTTTCTGCTAATTTCCATCTTGGAACGGGATAGTGCTCCTCATGATCAAACCAAAGTAATTAACAATATCTCTAGCCCCAGAACCTACTACTCTATCAATGTCATCTGGAATCATAATTTTGATTTTGCCACCACACTTAGTTTTTACTTCTAAACTTTTAGATTTATATTTTCCTCTCCCTCTTCCTCTTTTTTTATTACTGGAAGAAATTGCAAAGTAAAAGGATACTATTGTTCATTAGTAGCTCCACTCAATCAACAAAAATAATTTTCACAAAACAACAAAAAACAGAAACTAACTTGCACAATTTTCAGCCTCTGGAGAGCAATGCACAGTTTTTGCTACATTTCGTGATGATTGTGTTTCTAAAGAAGGTATTTGGAGAGAGTTACTAGATACTCATCTGGTCTGTAAAGGTCCTTGACTCGGGTTACTTGGTTGTCCTATCTCTATAGATGTATCATATACTCGTCTGGTTTGTATGTGTGGCTGAGACGTCGCTCCAAAACTGCCACGTCCTTGAAAATTTTCACGACCACAGCTCGTCCCACCTCTCCCATGTTTTCCTCGTCCAATTCCTCTCATTTTCTATAATAAAACATAAAAAGAAAATGATTGATCAGAATAGAGAAAATATTAATTCACTAATTTTACTTCACTACTTATTCTGTTATGAAATTAAAGCTTTAAACATTATAAATTAATTTCATTCAGTCTAATTAGGACAAAAATACAGAGAACTTTTCAAAATAAGATGTAGACATAAAGCTACAAGCATCATGAACTAATTTTATTGTCAGTCTAATAAGGAAAAATATATAGAGAACTTTCAAAAATAAGACATAGACATAAAGCTTCAAGCATCAGAAGAGAATCAAAAAAGAAATATAAAGATTCAAGTATCAATAACCTTTGGTTCATTGACAGTTCCAAACAAATACATGGGGTAGTATAAAGTCATAGACAAAAATATAGAGAATTTTCAAAATATGATGTAACACCTATATCATCCATCTTTTTCTTCTTAGTCTTCAAGAGGATGTATCAGTGTCCTCCCCATCATCATCATCAAATAACTCTTCTTCGCTATTTTCACTCTCTGATTTTCTATATGATTGTCATTAATGAAATCATCTTCCTCATTATGCATATTGTTTTGAGCTTGCGTACTTGCATGATCGTAGTTAATACTTTGTGGTTCAATATTATCCCTATGTAGAGACACCTCAACAATATTTTCTTGGTCATTGGTACATGAAGTATTAAATTCAGTTTCCTCTTGCTGATAAACTTCTTCATTCAGTAATTCTTCATCTTCAATATCTACAAAATTATCATCATTATCAGGAAATTTGAAAAGGTTACGAGGATTTGTCTTCACAACAACAAGTCAATCATTATCGACGATGTCGTCCAAGTAAAAGACTTGTTCTGACTGAGATGCCAACACAAATGGTTCATTCGTATTCAAGGCACACCGAGTATTCACACTTGTGAAGCCATATTTGTCAATCTTATATCCTCTTCCTAAGCGAGCCACATCCCACCAATGACACTTGAATAAGTAAACTTTTCTGTTTCCTACATAAGATAACTCATAAATGTCCTCTAATACACCATAATACTCCTTATTATAGTCTGAATCATCTCCTCTCACAAGAACACCACTATTCTGTATTTTTCTTCTCAATGCAAGCTCTTTTGTATGGAATCTAAATTCATTCACCACAAATGTTTAATATTGATGTACTAATGGTACAGGACCGACGACTAAGCTTATGAGCTCATCATTTGCGCATCCTTGTGCAGATAGTACAAACATCTACAAAGACGAACAATACTGTTATGACCAATAACATGATGGCATGAATAAACTAATATCAATATTATCATTTCAGTAGACACCTGCACTTGCGTGAAACCAATCAAGAAACCCATTTTTATGAGCTCTCATTGAACTTTGGCTTTCAATCTCTCTTGTATATTCCATACATTTTAAGTTAGCTAAGATAAATCGGATTCAAATTATCTCAATGTGAAACTATCTTGGAGTTAATAAGAGACTTATTCAATGAAATGCGAAACCTCTTCACAATTTTGAAGCACATACATATATGATTGTTTAAACTCATCATGAGATAGTTTGATGCCTTCTGAGGCACCTTTTATTTGCCCACTTTTTTTAAAGATAGACATCTCATCATTTGACACAGATCTGTCGTCATTCCTAGTTGGTTTATTGAACTTTGTTGAGATATTCTTCAAGTATCATGAGCAAAATGTGAGGCTTTCCTCTGCCAAATAACCTTCTGCAATTGAACCTTCTGGACAATTTTTGTTGCGAACATATGACTTAAGTGTTCGAAGATACCTATATAAAATGACTTATTAATATAATGTGTGTCATTCTAAAACTATAGCATTGAAATTATTAAACAATAAATTACTTCTCAATAGGATACATATTCTGATATTGAGCTGGTCCACCAAGCTTTGCCTCACTTGGCAAGTGAATTGGCAAATGAACCATGACATCAAAGAAAGCTGGAGGGAAAACAAGTTGAAGTTTGGTCAAAATAACAGGAATTTCTGCCTCTAGGATATCAAGATCTTCAATTGTCAAGAACTTAAGAGTATCTATTCTTGAAAAAATTTCCTAAGGCTATAATTAGATCACACACTTTCATGGGTAGCAAACCACGTATAACTAATGGAAAAATGTCTTGCAACAATATATGATGATCGTGACATTTCAATCCATGTATCTTTTTCTCCTGTACGTTGACACACCTTGAAATGTTTGAGGAAAATGCATCAAGAATCTTCAGATTAGCTAAGAAACTGCATACTTTCAGCTTCTCTTCCGCGGACAATGCATAGCATGCTGCTGGTAACAAAATATTATTCCCATCCTCAATAGGATGCAAACTTTGTCTGATTCCAAGATCCATCAAGTCATATTAACTTTTCAATGTGTCTTTTGTCTTTCCAACTATATTCATGACAGTTGATATAATATTATCGGAAACATTTCTTTCGATGTGCATCACATTAAGGTTATGTCATAACATAAGACTCTTCCAATAAGGCAATTGGAAAAAGATACTTTTCTTCTTCCAATTGTAAGCATTGCTATGAACATCATGCTTTCTCTTTTATTCTTTACCAAAACTCACATTACCCAAAGCTTGTAATTGCACAAGTGCTTCATTACATGTTAAAGGGTTAGGTGCAACTCCCATTTCAACTTTTCCATCAAGTAACGTCAAACTTCTCCGCTATGGATGATCCATGGGAAGGAAGAGACGATGACCCATATAACACAACTTACTATGCAAGGAAGTCGATTGTGTATCTTTATGGCAACAAGGGCATGCAATCTTGCCTTTGGTTGACCATCCTGAAAGATTTTCATATGCAGGAAAGACATTGATCGTCCACGTGATAGCCACATGCATCAGAAAATTAGATTTTAAGTATGCATCACAAGTCTCCACCCCGTCCCATAATTCTTTCAACTCTTCAATCATTGGTTGTAAATATACATCGATATCATTGCCTGGACACTTGGGGCCTGGAATAAGAAGCGTCATCATGAAATATGGATTTTTCATGCAATCCCATGGTGGCAAGTTATACGTAGCTAGTATGATTGGCCAAATGCTATGATTAGAACTCATGTTCCCATAAGGTTGGAACCCGTCACTCGCCAAACCTAATCGAACATTTCTTAACTCAGCTGAAAAGGTAGGATGTCATGCATCAAAGGATTTCTATGTTATTGAGTTAGATGGATGTCGCAAGATATCATCATCAATATTCCCCTCCTTGTGCCACCTCATCTTTTTAGTTGTTTCTCTTGCCATGTACAATCTTTGAAGCCTTGGTTTGATTGCAAAATGCCGCAAGATTTTATGAGCTACTTTCTTGCCTATGTGTTCTTCGGACTTCCATCTAGACTTACCACACTTAGAACATGCTTGGTCATCGGCATAATTATGCCAATATAAAATACAATCATTTCGACATGCATCTATTTTGGTGTACCCCAAGCCAAGGTCACAAAAAACTTTCTTTGCTTTATAGAAAGAATTAGGCACAAATGACCCCTCGGGAAGAACTTCTTTAAATAAGCTCAATAATTCATCCATCAATTTGTTGCTTCAATGGTTAAGACACTTCAAGTGAAGTAGTTTAACAACAAAAGACAACTTCGAGACTTTTTTCTAACCGGGATAAAGTTCTATCTCAGCATCTTCTAACAATTTGTAGAACTTTGTTGCATGTACATTTGGCTCTCCATTGTCCTCTGAATTATTGTTATTATCCTCCACATTCGTATATCCACAAGAATAGTGAATCATTTCAGTAATATTACCCTCTTCAGTGCTATCATCTTCCGCTTCATCACTAACTGCAGTATTAGAAGTTCCAACTTTAACTAACACTTCTCCAGGCAAGTCCCACACTTTATAAGAATCCCAGAAACCCTTCTTCAATAAATCTCCTCTTACACCAACCCTTAGCTTGAACACGGTATTCACATATACTTTACAAGGACACCGAATCATAGTGTTCACTGTTGGTTGACTAAATGCCCAATTAAGAAAATTGTCTACTCCATCTCTATATCTTTGGTCGACTTTATTCCTAATATTCAACCAGCTTTTATCCATCATATCTATATTAAAAATAAATAAATAAATTTACTAATTAAAAGGGAAAGGATTATAATAATCAAAATATATATAATAACTAACATATATCAGGGGTATTCAGACAAGAAGTCACAAAAACACATTATTCAAACAAGAAGGAAGCAGTCTATTCCAGAATTACTTATATGAATTGTGTGCAATGAAGAACAAGTTCAAACCAGGGTATGTACCACTCTATGAAACTACAAAAATACATGACTTTAGTAATGTGTTGATTAAGTTTCTGCCAGGTAATATGCAAGATTGACAACTTCAACAAATAGTATTCAGAAATCATATAACAAAATTTCTTTCGATGGACGAGATCAGAAGATAGTTAAACGGGCAGAGAAATTACGAGGAAGAAGCATTTCTAGTGATCTTCTGCTTCTTTTCTCTGCAAAGAGGAATATTGCAGAGGAAATGTTCTGGAATGAAACTATGAAGACAAACTATTCGAAGATTTTAAAACAGGCAAAAGTTATTCGACGATCAAACTACGAAGACAAGAAAATTCCTGGGATTATCTAACTGAGTGAATCAGTCAATCTAATTGCTAAGAGTGAAACTAATCCCATACCAAGAAGAGACCTGCCAGAACCAAAATTGTGTTTTCAATGATAATAATCTTGAGTGGCTTAGGAGAACAGCAAATAAACAAAGGCCGATCCATTTCATAGAAAACTTGAACCCAACTTAAACTCTTCAATGCGATTATTGAGCCCTCATTTTGATACGACGAAATCAGCAGAACAATATGCCATGAAATCAGACAAGCTGGCCACATAAACTTCATCATTGTCAAGTCTTTAAAGAATTAACAATATTCAATCAGATTCATACTATTCCTTTAAATCTCGAACATAACAAGGAAGAACCAAGCTTTGCTATGGGATACAAACTGAACTAGTTTAAAATATGACCCGACTAAAGCTTAGCAAGGAGTTGTACAGTTCTAAATGCCTAGTCAAATTGGTTGGACCAACAATAATCAGTAAATATAAAAAAACAATCAGATTTCTGGAATGAATGTTCTGTCTCATTTTGTCAATGAGAACTAAGTTGTTTGTAACTAACATGGATAAAATTTTGTTAATAATGTAAAGTTTTAGTTTGTTTTATGCAACAGAATGACCAAATTCATGTACAAAACAATGTAGTTTGTTTTATGTGAGTACTAAAACATGTTTCCGCCAAAGAGTTTTTGGATCCTAAACCTGAGAAATGCATAGCTAAGTAAAATTATAAGTAGTGTAGCTAATTCATATTGAATGGCTCAAGAACAAGTTAACAGAAGCTGACGAATGAGTAATTGAAGTTGCGACTCGGAACATGAACAATCCCTCATACACTGAACAGAACAATCCCTTATACACTGAACATAACTTGTTAAAATTCCACCTCTGTCTCTAATTACAACAACAACAACAAATTAAAATACTAAAATACTTGATTACAACAAAGCAATTTCTTTCCCCAAAGAAAAACAAAAAGATTAGGGATTTTAACATACCTGAGTTGTTAAAATTTCACTTTTATATTTTCTTGCCCTTTGCCGACTTCCACAGTTGTGTACAAGTTCTTGAATATATGAAGTTGAAAAAGCTTTGAGTCAATTTGTACAAACAATGGCCTGAATCGAAAGACCCTAGTGGTCTTCTTCTTCCCACAACACGATTCACAAATTCAAATCAAAACTCATCAAACCAGCTTCTAATCTTAAGATTTAGCTTCAAAATGAAGTTTCCAGCAAGTATCATAAACACCCAATCGAATTCACATTCTGATTTGAGGGATTTCGATTTAGGTGAGATTTTTGAGGGATTTCAATTTGGTATTTCTATTATCTGGATAGATTTCTAGAGGACCGATTTTGGGTTTCGCTTTGGGATTTCTAGCTATAGAGGACCGATTTTGGGCGCTTCTTTGTTTTCACATCGACTCGATGTGTTCGAGATGAGAGTTTCACTATTTTGTCTCTAACCGATTTTGTGTCTCATTTACTGATTATTTTCTTCTGTTATTTTAAAAGGGAATATGAGCGACACAGTCGCTGCAATACATATTTAGCGCGACTTCACAAAAGTCGTCACAATAAATATGGAGCCAAAATTTTAATTTTAGCGGGAGTGAAAATTTCAGCCACTTTAGAGGCGACCTATACATAGTCACTACTAAATATTTACAAATTGTGGTAACTTTTAAAGTCGCTGCTGATAATATACATTTTGTAGAAACTTATAGTGTTGTTGCTAAATTTCGCCCCTAATTATCCAATTTCTTGTGGTGGCATGTCTAGCCAAGTCACTGAAACGGACGACATACTCTGAAACAGTCATAGTATCCTGGCGCAACTGCTCAAAATCCGCATGCCATGCATCCTTGAGGATATGAGGGACATACTCTATCAAAAACATGTTCGAGAACTGAGTCCATGTAAGGGAAGCTGCCTCAGCTGGACTATCCATTTCATAAGTATGCCACCACTGATAGGCTGCTCCTCGAAGCTGAAAGGGAGTAAAAGAAACCCCACTCGACTCTGCTATGCCCATAGTGCAGAGGATACGGTGCCACTCCTCTAGAAATCCCTGAGCATCCTCTAATGCTAGACCACTGCATATAGGAGGGTCGTACTTCTTATGCCTCTCTAGCCTACCCTGCTCCTTCTCCGAAACTGTTGTCCTACCATCGGGCTAAATTGGGGCTACAGGTGGTACCGATATGACCTCTAGAATCTGATCAACCTGAACCCGATGCTCTAGGGTGTGGGCGGCGGGAGTCTATGCTCCTCCCCCGGCCTGAGATGTGGTTGTATTAAGGGGAATCAACCCTTCCTGAGCTAGAGTGTTGTACATGCTCATGAACTATGCAAGGGTCTCCTGGAGAGTTGGAGTAGTAGTAGTAGTAGTAGGTGTATCAGATGTCTGTGCTTCGACTAGAGCTATTGGTGGCTCCTCTATAGTAGCTCGTGCGGGTGCACTGGTTGCACCACATGTGCTTCCTCGGCCTCTACCCCCGCCCCGATTCTGGCGGCTCTAGTAGGGGGCGCGGGTGTCTGGTCATCTCTGGTAGCACGTGTCCTCACAATCTGTGAGAGAATAGAAGACATAAGTTTAGAATTTCGAAGTCAATAATCTCGCACAACAAGGAATCAAATGAAGTGGAATTTTCCTAATAGCTGTCACACCTCCTTTTTCCGCCCCCGCGAGGGTACAAGGGAGTTTTTTCCAATTAAAGGACAATCGAAACGGGATTTGTTCATTTATTTCAGAGTCGCCACTTGGGAGATTTAAGGTGTCCCAAGTCACCAATTTTAATCCCGAATCGAGGAAAAGAATGACTCTGTTTAATAGTCTGCCCGCCAGAAATTCGGATAAGGAATTTTGTTAACCCGGGAGAAGGTGTTAGGCATTCCCGAGTTCCGTGGTTCTAGCACGGTCGCTCAACTGTNTTTATTTAGGCAATATATGCAGATAGTTCAACTGTTAAGCTATCGTCGAATGTTCCACTATGTGTATTAAATAGCTACATGATTCTGATTTTTTGCAAATTAAATAATTTGTACATACAAATAAAAATCAGAATAAAATTAAAGCTAATTCAGAATTTCAACTCTTCATTATACGTATTCATGCTTCATATTCGGATTACAATAACCAGCTTTTCAGTTGTGTACCTGATACTGGAAGCAAAAGAAAATGAAGATGAGAATCAGCAGCAGTAATAACAGTACAATACAGCAGCAACAATCCAACAACAGTAACAACCCAAGAACAGAGTTTGCAAACCGGTGGAGTATTAATCCCAAAACAAAGCTTCAAGCTTTGATGACAC